TAATATAGGTTTATAATGTCTACCTCAAACATACAAATTCTTGATTCTAAACGAAACTGCAATGGTCAATGGCTTGTGAACCAAATGTGCGTACATGATGTCGTTATGGTAACACATTTCCCCCAGCTGTCCCCTAGCTGAGGTGGTAAATCTATAATTACAAAAGAATACAGCTTTATTCTACAAAAAAAGAACAAATGATTACACAAGGTTACGCAAAGGCACAATAAATTACTTCTACAATACAGCGAGTCTCAGAAGTATTGGGGCAGCCAATTTGCTAATTAGCGAATTAGCTAACTGCTTGTGTTTTGACAAAACAGTTGGCTTTCGAATTTCGCTGGCACCGTCTTGTAGTCACACCCACTCTAATCTATATAACAGCAGGGAACGGTAGTTATACTTTAGGAGCTAATCAGCGACAATGATCTTACAGTTGGATATCTATTTCGCTTTCAAATATACCAGTAAAAGTGTTCTATGTTCTTCATGTAATGAGGCGTCGTATACAAGTGATTGTCCACGCAAAAAAAAAAAGCAACGCTAGCGAGTTTGCAAATTGGCTTCCCCCAATACTTATGAGACTTGCTGTATATAATAATGATATAATTGCTATCATTTACGTTACAATATAAGTAAAAGGAAAATTGCAAAGTGATCATGTAAAAGTAAGCGTGTAATAAGTACTGTATTCTCATTTCTATAATGGCCATGGCACAATTTATTCCATATTATCTGGTGCTGCACTGTTTTTTTGGGTGTGTTAGATATGTATAGTATTGTCTGATGCATGTATATTGGCAGTCAAATATCAAATTTATTTATGTTCAAATTCAATGTCATATTTTATTTGCTGTTCAACCAGATATTTCTATGCATTGTAATTTTTTTGCAGTGACTGACTAACTCCCCCTTTGCACGGTTCTCGTCAAATAAAATCTATGATGTGTTGTTGCTGCTTTGGCTATTTTTTTCTTCGCTTATTTTATTTCACTCAGTGTATTGGTACCTAGGCTAGCAGTAGAATAGAATAGAACCAAAAAGATTAAATATTGTTATTCAGTATATAAGGTTACTTCAGACTAGTTGCATTCGCTAGAGGTCACGTGGTGCAGACGTAAATAGATTGTATCTCCTGATGTTCACTACTGATATTCTTGGCAAAGTGGTGAGATTGGGAAGCAAGTATATGTACTGCATGCATGCATGCATGCATGAAATGAACAGTAGCTGGGCGAATTCACAAAGATTTGTAAAAACAGAATTACCTGACAATGAGGGCAGCCTCAGCAATTATTAGATATGACGAAAAGGCTTGTAACATTGTAACTACGTCCCATTTTAATAATTATACATCGAGCTTCTTGTATGATTAATACACGTTCCGTATAACGAGCAGCCAGATAGCAATACAAACATCATATCTAAGCCGTAGAATATTTAGTTATTAATGGTTGTGCATTATCGTCGAACAGTAACATTTAACTATTCAAAGTAAACCGTCCACCTTCAATAGCAACACATCGCTTGAAACCAACACCGCAAGCAAATAATATTAAAATAATAAAAATATTAGACATCAAACATACAAAAAAGAATAACCAACCTACTTTGATCTTGATCTATGATAATGTTAGTATGAATGATGTTGGTGTGGGGAAATGCAGTTATTTTGACTATTAGGGATTGGTCAGTTACTTCAGCCTAGGGATGGGGGGG